GAATTGGAAGAGATTTTACATTACAATGTGTCAGGTAAGGGGCTAAAAACTTTAGGCTGGGGATGTCCAAGAGTCCAGTCTATGGACCTGTCAATTTTAGGCCAGCAGAGCTGTGAGAATCAGATAGGAACGTTACTGCATTCTCCCTCAGCTATTCTCAGTGATGTGCACAAAACAATGTTATATTCTCAGCAAAAATTGGGGCCTTGGCTGCATTTACAGCTGCCTCTGTTGTACAAGTGGACTATAAAGTGGGAGGCTATGGGTGGAAATCATAGCCCTCAGACCAGCCTGTCATTGCCCCAGGTTGGGAAGAATCCTCATCATATACCCTTGGTGATGATTCAGGAAAAAAACATGCCTGGATAGTTCAGTGAATTGGCTGTATTGACAGGTCCTTTCAACACTAAATCAAAAGTCTATAATAAGATTTGTAGTAAGTACAAGTTTCCACATGACAGTTGTTTGGTGCATTACACAAATCAGATTTATCGTGTTTTCAGTGGACAGCTATCCACATAGCTAAAAATTATCCTCATAATGCCTATCACTGCTGGCCAGTTCCGCACACAGGCTAAAAATCGAACAGAAATGGAAACTGAACTTGTCTCTCTCCCCAGTGGTCTTAAAACAGAGTAGAGGAACATAATCAAGGCTGCGTGAGGAAAAACACTCTCATTGCTTATGATCTATTTGTTCTGTGGTTAGGGGACTTTGGTTTCCAGTATTGGCAGGCTGACACCTTGTAGACGGGAGGTATGCACTTTTAAAAAGTTTAATTTTTAGCAAGCAAGAAAGGGTTCATAATGTTAGAGCTACTGAGGCCTCCTTCCTGTATGATTTTTCTGTTTTTCTACCCTCATTCTTAACTACTACTAGCAACTTTTCCATGAAAATACCTTTAAAAGTTTATCTCCCCTTGCTTAGTCCTCACCTAAGGTCACAATCATAAGAACATAAGAATGGCCACACTGGGTCAGACCAAAGATCCATCCAGCCCAGTATCCTGTCTACCGACAGTGGCCAAAGCCAGGTGCTCCAGAGGGAGTGAACCTAACAGGTAATGATCAAGTGATCTCCCTCCTACCATCCATCTCCATCCTCTGACAAACAAAGGCTAGGGACACCACTCCTTAACCATCCTGGCTAATAGCCATTAATGGACTTAACCTCCATGAATTTATCCAGTTCTCTTTTAAACCCTGTTATAGTCCTAGCCTTCACAACCTCCTCAGGCAAGGTGTTCCACAAGTTGACTGTGCGCTGCGTGAAGAAGAACATCCCTGTATTTGTTTTAAACCTGCTGCCTATTAATTTCATTTGGTGACCCCTAGTTCTTGTATTATGGGAATAAGAAAATAACTTTTCCTTATTCACTTTCTCCACATTACTCATGATTTTATATACCCCCTTAGTCTCCTCTTTTCCAAGCTGAAAAGTCCTAGCCTCTTTAATATCTCCTCACATGGGACTCATTCCAAACCCCTAGTCATTTTAGTTGCCCTTCTCTAAACCTTTTCTAATGCCAGTATATCTTTTTTGAGATGAGACCACATCTGTATGCAGTACTCAAGATGTCGGTGTACCATGGATTTATATAAGGGCAATAAGATATTCTCCATCTTATTCTCTATCCCTTTTTTTAATGACTCCTAATATCCTGTTTACTTTTTTGACTGCCGCTGCACACTGCGTGGACGTCTTCAGAGAACTATCCATGATGACTCCAAAATCTTTTTCCTGATTAGTTGTAGCTAAATTAGCCCCCAATCATATTTTATGTATAGTTGGGGTTATTTTTCCCCAATGTGCATTACTTTACATTTATCCACATTAAATTTCATTTCCCATTTTGTTGCCCAATCACGTAGTTTTGTGAGATCTTTTTGAAGTTCTTCACAGTCTGCTTTGCTCTTAACTATCTTAAGCAGTTTAATATCATCTGCAAACTTTGCCACCTCACTTTTTATCCCTTTCTTCAGATCATTTATGAATAAGTTGAATAGGATTGGTCCTAGGACTGACCCTTGGGGAATACCACTAGTTACCCCCTCTCCATTCTGAAAATTTACCATTTATTCCTACCCTTTGTTCCCTGTCTTTTAAACCAGTTCTCAATCCATGAAAGGATCTTCCCTCTTATCCCATGACAACTTAGTTTACGTAAGAGCCTTTGGTGAGGGACCTTGTCAAAGGCTTTCTGGAAATCTAAGTACACTATGTCCACTGGATCCCCCCGTCCACATGTTTGCTGACCCCTTCAAAGAACTCTAAAAGGAAATCATGTCTTACTAATCTATTACAGAAACCATGTTGACTTTTGCCCAACAATCTTCTGCATATGACATTAATCACCTTCACAGCAACTGGCTATGATGTGTTTCGGTTAGTGGGCTGTTGTCTTCCTCTTTCCCCCTCTCTATAGGCATTCCCCGAGGCTCTGTCCTTGGCTACCTCCTCTTCTACAAGCATAGCTTTGACTATCATCTTATATAAGTGACTCACCAGTCTACCTTTCTATCTCATCTTCCTCTATTCACTCTAGCATCTTATCTTGATATCTCATCATTCATATACAGCCCATCAGTGAAAACTCAACAAAGCCAAAATAGCCACTTTCCACCATCCCTTCTCCCCCTCCTTTAACACTGTGGAAATCACCATCATCGTTCTTGTTGCTCAGGACCATAATATGCATGATACCTTTGCCTCAACTCTCTCTCTAGACCCATACATTCAGGCCATATCTAAATCTTGCTGCTTCTTTCTATACAGCATCTTTGAGATTTGGCCTTTCCCCTCTCTCCGCACAGCTAAAACTCCGATTCAAATCTTCGTCATTTTGCAACCAAACTACTATAATCTCTTCCCTTTTGGGCCTGACTCCCCTCAAACTTGATCCCCTCAAGTCCATTCAAAATCTGCTCCTAAGATAGTCTTCCTGGCTCCTCAACCTGACATCAACGCCTCTTTAGATCCTTCCCCTTGCTTCCCCTTCACTTCCACATCAAACACAGGCTTCTTTTCTGTATTTTTAAGGCCTTTCACAACGTAGGGCTTGCCTACACTAAAAAGTACACCAGTATAGTTAAAGCAGTACAACCTCCTTAGTGTAGATGCAGTTATATCAGTAACAAGTTGCTAGAGAGAGAGAGAGAGAGAGAGAGAAAGAGAGAGAATGCACACATGCTATTCCTGTATGGGAAAGGAATAAAATATACCAGTATAAATCACCTTTATAATAGCATAATTGTATCCACACTAGAGCTTTTTCAGGTATAGATATTTCAGTAAAAAAGACACACCCCTAATCAAAATAGTTATATTGTAAATCTTAAATATAGACCAGGCCTTATTCCTACCTTACCTAGTTGTTCTAACAACTGATTGAAAAAATCTACCTTTGACTTTGCTCCAACATTCTCAGTCTTTAATAGGAAAAGCTGACTGGTTGGTGGAGAACACCTTTGTACTTTCTCCCATGCCACTCCTTATGCAGGGGAAGAGTATATTATAAGCCATAAAGCTACCACACTTTATCCTCCTTAAGGCTCATCACTGCCATGACTCCTTCCAGGCATATGATGAGATCTGACTCTCTTCCCCTTCTTTCCTTTTCCTACTACCTTATTCTTCCAACTTCTTCACTCCCCTCATTCCTCACCCTGCTTCTATTTCCAGTTAGATACACTTTCTAAAAATAGCTTTAACAAAATTCTGCCAATTCTTCATCACATTCATTTAGTTGCATGTTATATCCCTATAACTTATGCTCCACTTGTTCTGTATCTTTTAAACTGTAAGACATCTAGGGCAAGGATTCTCTCTTATCTAGTGTCTAAGACAACAAGGCCCCTATCCTGAGTGGAGCCTCTGGGTGATACCATAATATTTAGCACTAACAACAGTGTAACAGAAAATGAAGATATAAATTAACTCTCAGTGTCAAACCAGCAGAGACAGGACAGAATGCTAAAGCAAGGCATACACTAGTCCTCAGTGGAAGTGCCTGTAATACTGAAATTCTGCTTGCAACATCAGATCCATTACTGAATAGTATCAGAGACCAGAGTCTACCTAAAGAGAGAACATAAGACACCTTCCTTCCTCTCTCTCCCTCTCTCCTCCCCCCCTCCAAACTATATTAACTTAACTAAAAAGCAATTTGCAATGTGGGTGGCTGGCTGGGTGGATGGAGTGGGGGGGAGGAGTAATCAACAATGTAGACAGGCTTCAGTCTCCATCACTGTTCAATGGCAGGTCTGAAATGACCGGTACAATACACGCTATGGTGTTGCATCAAATAGGAAGTACTGAAAACGTTTGCATATCATATTCCAGAGAAGGAGTAGGGGAAGAGCAAGTGTGCAATTCATTAGAAGCATGCCAGGTACTCCTTAATGTGTTTATTTGGGGTGTTGGGTGCACACCAATAAATATTTCAATTCTAATTTTTTTAAGAAATGTATTTCCACTGCACAAATCTGTAAAAACATGACATGATAAAATCTATTTAATTAAAACAACACAGGTCTCAGAAAATATCTTTTATACTTTTAAATGTAAACAATAATGTAAGCTTAACAGATATTTACCATATAATATCTAAATACTCAATAGAACATACTTCTCCCCCTGCAGAATAATACAATTTAATACTTTACTATGTATTTATATAGCTCCCATCACAATAGCATCTGAACACCTGATTTTGATATCATGCTGCTGTAAATCAGAACACAATTGATATTCTGATCACACATCAGCTTTACATTCATGTAACACTCTGAATAAGGCTCACTGTTTGCTCATTAACCACTCTTATTAACATTATGATTAAACATTCTTAATGAGGTAGCAGCCAGGGGACAAAGGCAGACCCCACTATGCTTTAGAGTATTCTAATAAAAGAATGGTTCCACCAAGAGTCCATTTTTAGCACAGGGCTTAAAACAACCTCTACTGTCCCTTTGGCTGTTTAAGTAAAACAGAATACCTACCTGTTTTGACACTTATCTAGTCTTCATTAGTTAACACATATCACTTCCACAGCTAGAGAGAGTCCCTGAGGATTACCTGTAACAATGGACAGCAAAAAAGAAGTCCAAGTTATTTTATTTTACTCCATTTGCTTAACATAAGGAAACTCTGAAGAGCTGAAAATCGCCAGCAAGCACAAAGAAAGTTTCCACTCCCCACCCACCCCCAGCCACATAAATCGAAACAAACTCTGGAACCACTTGTGTGAGGTGCTGAGAGCCCTGGACTCCCACTGACTTCAGTGGAGATAAGGACACGACCATCTGCCAGGCTAAGGACCAACTCTCACTACCTGTATGTGCGCGCCAGACAAGTTACGCTTGCAAACCATCCAATGGGAGGCCCGCTGACAGACCGACTAGAAACGATCTGTCTGCACCCTGGTGCCAGCACTGCCCGCTTGTCAGCCCTCCTGCAGCCCGCTGAGGAGAATTTGGTCACATGAAGACCCAGAGGCAGAAAAGTATTTCTGAACACAACCAGGAGAACGTGATAATGAGCCACGTTGAGAGCCCGAGCCCCGACCTGTCCGCTAGTGCATTCACCGCCGCCAGCGCAAAGCGGGGCAGCGCTCTGAAGCGGCTCGGTAGAGCGTTATCCTCCGGGCCGCCGCAGGACGGACCAAGGGCAGGCAGCGAGTTCGGGGCTGCCCCGCGCACCCGGCCCCAGCCATGTGACTGCAAGTCAAACGCAACCGCGAAGAGCTCACTCCCTCCCTGCGCACGGCCACCGCGAGGCCGCCCCACCAGGCGCTACTTGTCCCGGCGGCCTGCGAGCGGTCCCGGCTCCGGGTACATTTCTGTACAGCGCCGAGCACCAATGCCCGAGCCCGGGAGGAGGCACGAGCAGAACGGTTCTCTCCAGCGGGAGGCTCCCAGCCAGGCTTGGGGACCCGGAGTCCATAGAAAGCCAGGCCGGGTACCACCAGAAACTCCAGGCCGCAGCAGGACAACCCCCAATTCCTCTTACCTTGTTTGACTGGCGGCCTCGCTCCGGAAGCGGGGGTCTGCTCGGACGTGACCCGGATGTTGATGTGCTCTCGGCCCGCCCCGGAAATGGCGTTAAGCGCTCCACCGGAAGCAGACGTGGCCGGTGGTTGCTTGCGGTTGCGACTGGGTGGCTGCCGGCTCTCTCCCGATCGGTCTCTGCAGCCCCCCGCCGGGCGGGATGAGGCGGTGCCGGCTGGGACCGGCGGCGCTGCTGGCGCTGCTAGGCGGGGTCCTGGCGGGGGCTGGAGCTGGAGCTGGAGGCGGCGGCCGAGCTCTCCCACAGCTCAGCGACGATGTCCCCTTCAGGGTGAACTGGCCCGGCACCGACTTCAGCCTGGTCAGTGCGGGAGCGCCCGGGCTGGCGGGCGGGGAGAGCTCCGTGGGCGGAGAAGGCCCCTGGGGGGATTCCGTCGGTGGGAGCCCCGGCGGGGCGGGGGGTCACGCAGTGTGGGTTATGGTCAGAAGAGTGACTAGATCAATATTTTAAATCTACAAATCTGCTCGTGCATCTTTAGTTAAAGTCTTATTTTCTGAAAAGGACCCGAGTTTATTTCGTTAGCTCCGATGCCTTTGTCAGGAGAAGACGTTGGATTATGCATTGTTCATCATCACCATGACTGTTAACTACATTAGATGTAAGGAACCTTCATGAGTGGAATGCACCAGCTAGAGAGAAATCCCAGGCTGAATGTGCATGACTGTAGTTGGGGAAAATCATCTTCATTTGTAAACTGAGTATATTTGCAGTGACAGTCACTGAGATACAAAGATGGGACCCCAACATGCCATGCCTTTTTCAGAGTTAGAAGCAGTTTGGGATTCAGATGTGCATTTAAAAGAAAGGAAAAGTATGTTAATCTACTCTACACTCCTGTTATTTTATAACAGACTTTGTTTGGAAGGGCAGTTGGGGTTCATTGTATTAAACTCTGTTCAAGCAAAGGAAGATGCTGTGTCTGCCTTGAAGATTTTATAGCCTAGATAAAACAAGGAAAAGGTAGAGGAAAGAGGTACAACATAGCCCATCATCACACTATTCATTTGGAAGTTATGTCTTACAAGTTCTCTTATTTTTATTGAACGGGGAAAAGAGAGGGAATGAGTAAATATGATGAAAGAAAAAAGATGGTAGAGAAACATGGGGGTAGGGAGAGTCTAGACAAAGGCAGAGGAGCAAAAATAAAGGTTAAGACAAAGATCAGAAGACAAACTGTCAGAGCAAATGGTAAAAAGCAGTCTGCTGACATCCCTAGGACCTGAGAAGATGCAGGGAACTCTTTTGAATAACCTGCTTTGTACCTAGGGCTAGGAATATATTTAAGTTTTTATAGCATTTTCCAAAAAAAAAAAATCCATCTAAACGGGATTTGTTTTTGTTCTACTTTTAGCCTACAACTGGTGTTTTGTACAAAGAAGATAATTACATCATTATGACAACTGTAGATAAAGAAAAATATAAATGTATACTTCCACTGATAGCAAACGGAGATGAGGTAAGCTTAAGTCAAATTGTTGCAATTACAGATTGTTAGTGACACATCTGTAAAATTAAATCGTTTTCTACCTTTTTAAAACAGAATTCCTCTGCAAAATGTTTCACAGTATGGCAGTTCTATAACTAATTGTGTTCATTATAGACAATATGGTAGTTCTGTTCTTGGCGGGTTTGATGTGAACCAGTCTTGACATCCTTAATTAGGCAAAATGGTTGGTGGGTTGGCTAGTCTCAGTTATGTGCCTTAATTCCAGAGCTACAGAGTCTTATACCACCTTCATCACTAATATCTGAGCACCTTCCTCTAGTGCAGGGGCGGGCAAACTTTTTGGCCCAAGGGCCCCATCTGAGTATAGAAATTGTATGGTGGCGGGCCATGAATGCTCATGAAATTGGGGTTGGAGTGTGGGAGGAGGTATGGGCTCTGGGCTGGGCATGCAGATTCTGGGGTGGGGCCAGAAATGAGGAGTTCAGAGTGCGGGAGGGGACTCCAGGCTGGGGCAGAGCGGATTGGGGGGGTGAGGGTTCTGTGGGTGGGGGGCTGAGGATGAGGGGTTTGGGGTGCAGGAGGGTGCTTCGGTCTGGGACTGAGGGGTGCAGGAGGGTGAGAGGGGGACCAGGGCTGGGGGAGGGAGGGGTGGCTCAGGGGTGCAGGCTCCATATTCCCCCTCCGGCTCCCATGCAGAGGCATGGTCAGGCAGTTCTGCTGCATGCTGCCGTGTCCGCAGGCTTCACCTCTGCAGCTCCCATTGGCTGTGGGTCTCGGCCAATGGGAACTGCAGGGACAGCGCTTGGGGCGGGGGGCAGCGTGTGTAGCGGAGCCCCCTGGCTGCACCATGCGTAGGAGCCGGAGGGGGATACGCCGCTGTTTCTGGGAGCCGTGCGGCGTGGCCCCTGATCCCACTCCCCAGCGTGAGCTCGAGGGCCAGATGTGCCCGCGAGCCATAGTTTGCCCACCCCTGGAGTTCCAGGAGTTCATTTCACAGTCTTGGACCAAGAAAACTGGAAAAAGCTATATGTCCTGCACAGATTAGCTTATCCTTATGATAGAAAGTTCTGTTGTGCCTGAGGAGTGGCGCTGTTGAGCAAGGTCTACATCCTGAAGCTTTAGGCGATCTTTTAGAAATTCTAAGCCCAAACCATTTAGTCTTGAACTTGACATGATATGGCATGAGAAGCCAAGGTAGAGAGTAGAAAGGCAGGTTTGATGTGCTTGTAGTAGCTAATGTTGCTGGAGAGATGCACTGTCCACTAGAATCACCTCTTGTTTGGATAACTAATAACATTGGGTTTAAGTAAGGCTAAGATTTTTGTCATGGTTGTTGTTTTTAGTAAAAGTCATGGACAGGTCATGGGCAATAAACAAAAATTCACGGAAGCCATGACCTGTCTGACTTTTGCTGGTGCGGCTCTGTGGTTTCTCCTGACACTGTGGTGGCTGAGAGCTGCAGGGTTCTTTCCTCCTCCCTTTGCCCCTCTTCCCCCCGCATGGTTGTCCCCAGTCACTGGAACCCTGAGGAGGCTGTCACCTGTCCCTGGAAATTTGCAGGGGGACCCTGAAGAGGCTATCACTGTAACCCTGCTGGGGTCCTGCTGGCTGCTAGATCCAGTCCCGCAACTCCAGGGACTGAAGCAGAAAATGTCACGGAGGTCTCTGGAAATCATGGATTCCATGACCTCCGTGACATAAATGTAGCCTTAGGTATAAGTGGTATTTAAAGCAGATTGAAATAGGAAGGGGCACTTTTGGTACAAGAGTCATGGAGGAGCAGGAAACTGTGGAAGAAAGCTATTTATATCAGCTAAAGATGGTAGCAGGAAGCTGTTCTTCCCCCTTACTTTAACCCACTAGTGCCCAAACTTTTCCTGTCGTGCCCCCCTCCCTTATTAGTAATGGAATCTGTCTGCCTCTTCCATTCCATTCAGAGGAGCTTGGACTTAAGACAGAGCTGGGGGCAGAAGTTGGGATCAGGGAGGAGCTGGGGCTAGAAAAGGAGCTGGCCTCAGGGCAGAGTGGGAATGAGGGCAGAGCTGACCTGGGGGCAGAGCAGGGGGCGGAGTGGAGCTGTGGCTGGGGGTGGAGCAGGGCTAGGGTTGGCATGGAGCTGCAGTTGGGATTGGAGCGAGGCTGGGGGTAGAGCGGGGCTGGTTGCTGCTCCCTCCCCACCCCCTGTGGGGGCTGGCCCAGGCCTGGCCATGTGCCCCCCAAACATTCAGGTGTGCACCCCACAGTTTGGGGACCGTTGCTTTAACCACTGGTTTTGGCAACAGAAGTTATAACTAATACTACTGCTTCTCCATTACTGGGTTTTTTCCTGTGCAATGATGGATGACTAGGTAGGAACAAAGCACTACTGCCAGAGCTTTCAGAATATCTCATCTTCTCCCATAAAAGTCACTATGGGAAGGTTCTCCCCTCCCCCCAAATAGGGGATGTGGTTTCTTCACAGGAGAGGCAGTAGCACAAGAATAGGCCAGGAGGGGGCAGATAGAGGAGAAGAAGCAGTGGGGACAGGCAAGCTACATAACTTCACATCTACCTCACTTCCTGTTGAAGATATCCTTCTGCAGCTACTTCATGTAAAATAGTAGGTGGCTGCTTGTGCCTTTGCAGCCAGCTGTGGGATCAGCTCACATGTACAAGTTTAGCTTCTCTTCTGTGGCTCTTGGCTCACTCACAAGATTGTGCCACCCAGCCCCATGGCTCTATCAGGTGAGTCAGAGCACCATGTAGCATTCAGGTGTGTGGAGAAGGGAAGCAAAAATTGAGCCAACAACAATAAAATAGAAAAGGAAAATCTGACAAAAAGAGACAGAAAAGGCCATGAGAGAGAGAGGCTGAGGAGAAGGCCACAACTATGCTAGAATGTGGTATGCACGGAAGAGCTATAGGGGTCTGCCCATCTACAAATCCATTGCAAGGAAAGAAAGAAGTGACTTGAAAAAAGGTTGAAAACCAGGTCAGGTTGGAGTCTCACAGACCTAGAACTTTGCATTAGAGAATATTGCCTTAATTGTCCACAACCTTTGAATTTGCAACATGATGTCCATTATAAGTGCTGCTGACACTTCTGCTCTCCTCTGTACCTTGTACCTCTACAATAGTAGTATCCAAATAAAAAAGTCTGACAAAAAAGAAGTGTTTGCTAGTTCTAACAGACAATACAATGGAAATCTCTCTAATGTATGTGTGCATGTGTTAATGGCACACATCACAAATCATTTTTCACCGAATCTTACTTCTGCGTTTTGTTTTGTTTTTAAATTAGACTCAGATTTTTGTTCTGTGAAAACCCTGGTGACAGTTACCTTTTTAGTGTACATTTGAAACAAAAATATTGAATTAGGAAACAGGTGCTAAATGGTTTTCAGTGCTATAGAAATTATTCACACCTCAGTTTGAATGCTTGTATCTTATTTTGTCATCAGCAGGTTGAACTCTAGTACTTCTAAAAATACAAAAAAGCCATATTTCTACAGTTTGTGTTCCAATTCTGTAATTCCTGGATTTGTTTGGTTTGACTGATTTATTTATGACTCTTATACTTTTCTTCAGTGTCCC